TAGTTCGTGCCCCCTTGTTATATTCACACAGGGAGCGGTAAAGTCCTGTAATTTCGATCGAAGACAGGAGAAAACCAACGGTAGGCACCAACTGCTCCTTGGTCATGTGCATGTGAAAGAACCTCCTGAGCATGCCAGAGCATGTAGCATAGAACCAGTGTTTGCCTATTAGCCTGTGGCAAGTGATGAAAATGATGGCCGGCACACACAAATTTTGCGATAGAAGATTTTTCTTAGCGTTCCACATCTTCACTGGAAGAGAACATTCGAAATATGTGGCAACGTTAGGAATGGGGGGACAAACAAAGGGGTGATTAGCAAGAGGAAACGCACTAGCTTTCTGCATTGAAGGTTAAAATGGAGGTCCGAGTAAAAGCCCTTTCTTATTTTACCGCAAAAGTAGACCTCGTCAGTCTCTGTCAGATGACATGGCTCTTTAGCCACGTCCGTAGCCTCACAGTCATTCATTGCATTTGCACTAGCTCCTCCTCCTTACTACAACTCTCGAGATACCGTGGAATACTATATTAGCAACGGGTGTAACCAGGCCACATAAAAAGCTCCACTGTACCTTCTCCACTGCACCGACTTCACAGGCAAGATTTACTTATCATTTGTAAAAGGCTACATCTTTATGGAACTTACCGAAGAAGGGTCGAAATATCAACGCCCCTCGTGAGTTATGAGTGGCAACTGCTGATGCCAGAGGATCAAGTATCCACCATTCACAGACGATGCACAGGAGATACGCAATGCAGAATTTCGTCCAATCTTCACCATTCTCTCCAGATGCAACTGCGTCTGCGGACAACACCATATTAGGAATTTGGACCACACCGGCAAAATCAACCCGCATTATAATATCCCAATTGTACACTTTTTCATAAAACCGGTTATTACGACAAATTTTTTATTATTATTTTACTTAAAATAACAGGAGCAAAGATGCAATTGTAGGAGGATTTTAGAAGAAAAATCACTTGGTGTAAAAATATTTTGCGAAGGATCAAGGTACGTCAAGAATGGCTAGCAGAATAAGGAGAAAATGACAAGGATAAAGTGATGAATGTGCTCCAGTACAAGTCATCCACTCCTTTACCAGAAAACTCAACTTCCATTGTCTTTTCTTTCAGTCAGCCACTCAGCCATGTGGTACAGAATGTCATCTAGTGAACTACTTTATTTAATGGAACAAAAGACCTTGTGAATACTTGATGAAATTGACTAAGGCAAAGCAACAAATGTAATTACACGGTGTGTGAACCAGGAACCATGTGGAAGGCGCGTTAATGAAACGATGGATGAATGGTGTGCACTTGGATAATTCCCTATCGTTGTACCAACTGCAGTCCTCCTCGTCATCTTTTCCACCATCGCCCTTCTCCTCCTATTCGAAATTACCACTAGAATCACTTGTGTAGACAAATTACTCGGTCGAGCAAAATTTTCTAGTAGCATATCTACCACCACCCAATGACTTACTGCTCAAGAAGATGCTTTTTGTGATACAAAGCAGGTCGTGATCTCGTGTCGATTAATGGTGTATCTACTTAGAATTCGCTTAA